CAGTGACAGCTGTGGTAATGTGCAAGGCTACCAACCTGATTGATGTGTGACAGACATTGTTGCACATTGTGCTCTGTGCAGAAGGTACTGAGCATGTAGGAGTTTCTGTGCAGCAGCAGTGATGATTGGCTAAACTGTCTCAAGGGGGATGCTCCATATTCAACAGAGCTGCTGCGACCGTCCTTGACTTGTGGAGAAAGAAAGAAGCCTGTTAAGTATTGGACATTACTCTGCGCTGATTCAGTGTCTAACAATACATTTATTAGGTGTCACTAAAAATGGCTTTTATCAATCGTATTTATCAATTAAGTGTTCTTTACTGCAAAGCTGAGGTCGGCATTCAGAACTGAAGGTACAACACTGCACTGATATATATTCAGTGGCCTTTAAAGACGTCAAAACTCACCCAGGGAGGACTCTGGCATGTTTGCAGTGCAGACCTCAGGCTTTGTCTCTGGATCATCTACTGCATTTGCAGGACAGGCAAAGTTTTCCACCTACGCAGCCTGCTCCTGAAATAGACGATCAGATTAACAGCAGCGATTCAACTCGTCTGGATTACAAGGATTTGGGAGGCAGTGGTGAGAGATGGAGGCATGAAGCTAGAGAGCACGGTCTGAGGATAAGTGATTTATTCACTAATCAGTGGCAACAAGCTACACAGAAAACATCCAGCGCACTCGCAGTTACCCCACAGTGTGTTTATTTAAAACGTTTAGCTTCAAATCTAACGATGTAGCTTTTGTTATCAAACCATTGTCAGTGCAGGCTGAGTATCTAACAGGTTACAGTTTGGGACACAAGAGATCATCTCATCTCAATGTGCTTATCAGCTGATTAGACTAATCCCAGACAGACAACATGCTTGTTTGTCTGCAGGCACTCACGTTCAAAAACATGAATGAAAAAAATTATGTGAGGAAAGTATTTCCTTCTAACAAAATAAACAGTGTGCACTGACACTACTTCAAACATACAACATCCTTTTACAGCGCTTCACAAGACATGAGCTACTGTACCAGAGTGAGACCTAAAAATATTTATCTTACGCAGACATTTTTCCCTCTTATCACCATCTGTTATGAGAAGTGTGACTTTTAGGGGACCTACCTTTGGTTTCAGTGATACTTAATCAGTCTGCAGAAACAGATGGCAAGCCTTCAGCCACAAAGCCTGAGGAGCATGGGCCCGGCTTATATAGACTCAACAAGTACTACCCTTTAGCTCATTAAGTCACCATTCACAAATTGAGTCCTGACAGAATGTGTTTACAGTGTAATGGTGAAATAATATAAAATAGTCACTGAAATTTTAGACCGGAGAACTTGATGGGATCACAGCAGAAACTAAACTAAGCCGCACTGTTTATGTTTACCGGGTGGAAGCTAAAGCTCTCTGTAGTAAATCTTTCCTTCATATAATAGTATAATATAATATAATATAATATAATATAATATAATATAATATAATATAATATAATTAAAAGTTCAGCTACGTCCCTTTATAAAATTGGCAGCTATATTAAAAACATTTCTAAAATTATTTAAATTGGAAATGAAGATTTTTGGCCGTTTGAATGAAGGATTTATTACACCATAACTGCGCAGTCTGTGTTCCTAATGATTGGAAACTCAAAAATCCCAGGTAAGTAAAGTGTCCAGTTACGCATTATTTTAGCTAACGTTAAGGTTTGCCGATGAAATTAAATAAATAAATAAAGCATAATAAAGCAAATGTTATTCGGGTTTCTCACCAGCCGTCAGCGCTAAACTAACGTTGTCCACGGAGCGCTACCACCGCAGAACAGTGAAAACAGAAGCCGGAGGGCTACCACAGCCGGACGAACAAGTTAGGTAGCCTCGACAGTTGGTGTTTTAAATGTTTACATCACGAGGAAACAAAACTTACTTACCTTACGATACAATTTGACACGTATCTCTCCAATGCAGCTCGCACCGGACCGTCTCCTTAAGCCCCGTCGTTCCTAATGACAGCGTACGCCACCGCAAGCACTCCAAGCATAGCGCTAATTGGCCCACTCGTTGTCTAGCGACCAAACATGGCTTATTGTGATTGGCCCCTCGCTGTAAAGCGTTTTATCTGCTCCAACAGCAAGTATTTATTTTATTTTTTACACTTATTATAATACACAATGTTAGTGATATATATAAGGGGCACATTTTCGTGAATAGTGGGATTATTCTGTGATCAGATACATTCACCATCGTACAAAATTATCACTTCACATTAACTTTAATGTCTATAGGAAAAGTAGAATTAATACTCCAAATTGTAGTTACAATGATCAAAACGACAAAACAGACATTCGTATATTACAAAAGCAATGTTTGGGTCAGACACTATTTTTGTAATATATGATATACCCAATCCTGATTAAGTGTTAATCCTGATTAATAACTAAATATTGATATATTTGTTCATTGTCCTATTGCCCTATCTGCATATTTGTTCTCTAAACAGCCTGCAAGGACACAGCCTTTTCACACGCTGGTTTTCTGTAGTTTTAGGAAGCAATCAGTCACTCGTTGAAGTTGGGACCTAACTAAAATGCTTTTTAGTTAACTATAGTAACCTGGTGAAAAAGGCAGTTTTGTTAACTAAACTAAAACGTAAAAAAGGCTTTTAAAAATAAAATATAATTATAAAGAAAATATCTTTAGTTTTAGTATTTGTTGGTTTGGTAACCGTGTTATTACAACTAATAATGCCCAATGAGGCATTGATGCACATGTTTATTGAGACTTTGGATGTCTGCAAGTCTGTGAGTCAACTGCTTTCAAAAAGTTCTGTGTTTTTATTATAACACCTGTACTGATTTTCATAAATCTGACATAAGGCCTCTAGGCAAAAATAAAAGCTAATCATTTAGAAAAAATAATCAGATTTTTTTTAACACATAAACTAATTTTTTTTAAAAAAAAGTCAAAATGTCAAAAAATAATAATAAATAAAAATTATTAGAGAATACAAAACTATCACAACTCTTACTTCACATTAACTTTCAAACAGAAGATTCATGCACAACCTTTTCCCTGTTGTATTGAGAGAAAGAAAATGAGAGTGGCTGAATGAGAGAAGAGAGTCATATTGCAGAGTGTCTCCCCTTTGAATTTTAAATAAAGCCATTAGGATTGGATGGAAGAGAGTAGCAGCTGAGGCTCCATCTGAGTAAGACATCAATGTCAGCTCTTCAGCCCTGTCCCCCGGGACCGAGATGTTAACCACTCCCTGGTAATCATACTGCCACCACCCACATAAAAAGAGGTTTTAGGTTACCATGTGAAAAGAAGCCAGAAATGTACAAGATAATGGGAAATGAGTACAAATATCTGTTACACGCATTTATATTTGGAGTGAAGTTTCCCTGGCTTTATAAATGTGTTTTTAAGTCAGTTTCCAATATGAGAGAGGCTTATCTGTTCTTATAGCATCCATTTCCCTTCAAAATACATAAAAAATAACAAATGTCATGGTATGCAAGAAATACCACCATAATTAGGTTTAATTTGGGTGGGTTTAGGGATCCTCTTTGTTCATTGAGATGCTACAAAAGATCCAATCTCTGCAGCAACGACGCTGCCAGTGGCCAGGAATGTGCTGAAGATCGCCCTCTTCTGGAGTGTTTGTAAATGTATTTCCCCACAGAAATGCACACGCAAGTAAAAGTTGAAAAAGAAGTATGAGTCCTGATCAGACTTCACGTATGTGCAGGGTGACTGGATCCCAATAAACTAAGCAAACACTGTGTTTAGGTAAAAAGAAAGCTGACGTTTGTTCTCGTGGTTTAATTATAGTCTTTATATTATTTTTTATCTGCATGTCAGATTATTTTTATGTGCAGTCTGGTTTATGACATGGTGCACAGTAGTTTGTGTGGTGAGACTAACTGTTAAAAGGATGATGGATGTGCTTAAGAGGACCACAGGAGCAGATTGGGGGATCTTCATCTGTGTGTCAGGATTGATCTGAACTGTGGGCCAGACACGGTCAAGATCCAGTGCCATACTGGGAATCTCTCCTCTCCCGCATGATTGATGCCACTTTCTTCAAGGACCCCAGAGACTGCCATGGAGGAAATACAGGAACAGCTCCACTAACAATTAAGCAATCTCTGACAGCAAATTGATAAATTACCCTTTAGATAATAAATCTTTCAGACGTATTATTTTCAAATGAAATAATATCCACTAGGAAACAAGCTCAGTGGACACAACGCTGAAGTAAACAGCATTGTGTCCAATGTTGTGCAGCCATAAGCTTTGGTAGCATACCTGCACAAAGATGTCACAGCTGACGGTGCTTTCACTTTGTATTTGGAGCAACAACTGTCTCTAATGTTCCACCAGATGGCAGTGAGTACGTTTCACTACGTCCTTAAATCTCAATTCAAGTGTTGTTTTTTGTTCACATGCTTCACTGAAATGTGCACAGCGGAAATACAAAGTAGTAGTAATACAATATTTTACTGTTCCTAACCACCTATTATATAAATATAAGTTCTGCTGGCCAATATATATTAGTGTGTTCTCTTCTCATAATCCTCATTAAAGCAGTGCGGACCCTTTCCATCTCTCCTCATTGTTTTTCTTACAGTATATCAATCAGTCTTCACTTTCTCTTGAAGAAGATCTAGTGCACTTCCTCCAAGGACACCAGATGTTTCTGTGAGTCTAAAACTCACAGAAACCCAGATTTCTTAAAGATAACAGTCTGTAATTATTTCTAATGTAACTTTCTTTTTACCAGGTTCATCGTTGTGTTCACAGGGCTGACTGTGTGGGGGTTCATCTTTTCAGGCATCTTCTTTACATGCTTCGTAGCGTTACCTGGGCTTCGTTGTGACCAACACCCCTTAATGAGCTGCTAAAGTTTTACAGAGAGGAAAACACTGAGTGACTTTGAAGTTATAATTTGCAAAAACATACAGTCATGTGAAAAAGAACGTTTTCATAGGACACTGTGCAACCATCTGAACAACTAAACTCCACAGTTAAATAACTTTTAGAAGAATTTTTAGGAGCCATAACTTGAAGCAGTTGAGTCTCTCACATCACTGCAGAGGAATTTTGGGCCACTTTTCTGCTGCTTTAGTTCAGTTTCAGCTTTGTGAGCATTTGTTTATGCAGAGCTCTCTTAATTTTCAACAAAAACATTTCAGTTTGGTTTTCAGTCATTCTGTTTTAGATTTGCTGCTGTGTATTGTTCTCTTGCATGACCCACTTTCAGCCACTTTTAGCCTTT